CTTCTTGAGTGCTTCACTGCCTCCTAAGTGCTTTACAACAGAACTAGTGAGAACCACTAAACAAACGTGCGTTACTACACTGCATGTAAGTGTTGTTTAAATTGGATTAAAATTGCTTTTAATGGAAGTTCTGGAATAAAATATTAAATACTTTTGCTGGTCATGACTTTAAGTCGCGTACGTCATATGGCGTCCGTAAGTCTGCCATCTTGGATTTTCTTAGAAAGTCAGCAAAATACAATATATATCATTTGATGGAAGCTGCAATGTCAGATGATTTTGCTAAGAGACAGCTATTTAAAGTGTCGGCATTACGGAGTAAATCCTCTTATCAAAATTTCGAAGAACAATTGGGTAGTGTTATTCATTCCGCTCCCCTTGTACGTACTAGCGAGGGCTAATATTGTTAATAGAACATGGCTCAATCTTCTCCCCTTCTTACGCTACTGAATTAGCAAGACAAGGTCAGGATGTTGGCCGGTGAGCGTCGGAATATTTTGAACAAGGAAAGTTTTCTCAACATCTCAGCGGCTGTTGGCATTCTTTTTGTAAAACCACGTGCAACAGCGCACCATTAAGCGCTTACTGGCAATTACTAAAGACAAGGAACTTTTCTTACCAGCTTTGAATCTCGACGCGTACTTTTGCTCCATGTAAAGACGCTCGTTTGTCCACACAACCAGAGCACCCACCATAGCTAGGCCAATAAGCGCAGCCAAGCAAACTGCACAAATTCGAATTCTGCCTTGTGATCTCAGATACATCAGAACTTCTTCTGTTAGAATAGTGAAGACGTTTTCAAAGGCAATATTGCCCCAATTTTTCTAAGAGCCAATAGCTTTTAAGCTGGTTCTGGGATATGATTTATTCCAAGTTACGACCAACCTGTATAAAAAAGATTGGGTAAACAGTTTTTTGATAAGGGCAAAGTTACAAGGACACTTCAAGTAATTAAAAGGGACGGACTTTGTCAGTATATTAAGAAATTATCTACGTAAAGATTTTTTTTCCGATCTTTGACAACATTTAATCATTAGAATGCTCAGAACATTTAAGTTTAAAACAGACTGGTTTGTTCAAAGCATTTTTAACCCGCGTTACAGGCGTAAACGGGGAAGAGGTAAGGGACTCAAGAACTCGAAGAAGAAGCCGGGAAGGAGGCTCTCTTAGAGGTCCTTCTGTCTCCTTCCTAGCTGTCCCTTGCCGCCTTCTCCGCTTCTCGCCCGCTACGTAGGATAAGCATTTTAGAAGATAGTTTCAATTTGATATAACGAGGTTTGAATACAGCAAGGAAGACCGGCATGATAATGAGGAGACATGACCGTGAATTGGAGCAAGGTAGTCTGGTGTTCAGTTTGTCCTACATGATTGTCTCCTTCGTAGCCGTTACTTGCATCGCTGCGTAATATTGGAGACTACAGTCGAACCTATGTATCGACAAAATTCTCATACATTTCCTCTCAAAAAAAAAAAAAAAAAAAAAACTTCTACAACACGGACCTTCTCTAAAACGGGCAACGGACACTAAATCTCGGCCCTGAGGATCAAATTCATACAAATTTAACCTCTTCATCACGGACACTCCGGGGACCAGGTGTCGGTAATTTGCGGTATGTACCATTTCCTGTCAGTGGTTACACAAACATTGGCACTAATTGATACCAATATCAGAACATGTCAAAATGTTAGTTTTGAAAACTTACATTTACAAATGCAAATACAATACAGTGTACAATAAAGTTAATCAATTTAGATTCAGAAATTCACAAGACACTCACTTTTGGGCCTGATTTTAGTTACTAAGCACTCTAAACTGTCAGTGGACACTTAAAAAGTGACGTCATCATAGTGTCCTCTCCAATACGGACACCTCTCTAATACGGACACTTCGCTCTGTCCCTTCGGTGTCCGTTTTAGAGAAGTTCGACTCTACCTCCATGGCTTAAGCGGAGTAAATATCGGCAGGTATATTTTGCAGGTTGTAGGTTGCAGGTTGAAATTTAATTATAACTGGAAAATCGCTGGCATTAAAAATAATTTATAACCTATGTACTCGTCAGAGGTCCTTACATAAAGTAGTTCGCGTCTTTCACATAGTGAAAACATGATCGATCCGCTTAAGTACTTATCGATCGACACGCTGATCGCATGAGACCAGTGAAATCTCTTCAAAGTCATCTGGATCGCCGCTCCACAGATGTTTCCATCGATTCCAGATTTGGCTCGGGTCTTCCCTCAACAACAGAAGATTGCCATCACAAATGAAGCAAGTAAATAAAGAAATGAAATAATATAAGTCTTAAGATTTTAACGGACGGAATATGCTAGCACAAGCTCAGTGTGCTTTCATTTTGGTACTCACAGGGAAAAAGCCAAATTCAGCAGATATTGCAGATGGCATTTCAGATGTTTCTTCAAAAACGATAATTCATTGCAGGCTTAAAATAATAGGAATATACTCTCCTCCCATCGCTTCGGCCGGTTTGGCACTTAGGTGGAAGCCACCTCACGGAGCGATTGTAAACAGTGTCATGTAACAGTCACGGTAAGTCTACCACCTGTACGTTTCTTCAAGGTGCAAGCGATTTTCCGGTTATAATTAAATTTCAACCTGCAACCTGCAACCTGCAAAATATACCCGCCGAGTAAATATCAAAGTTGTAACTTGGTTCGGACTCTCTCAGGAATAAGATAATAATGAAAAAGAAATCCAGTCTTAGCTTCTGCATGCACGTCATTTTCTCTGTCTTATTCATTCTTAACTTATGAATCGTGTTTTTTCCCATCATCGTGATTCCTTCTTTCAAAAATTCAAGTAACAGCATTAGATATACCTGTTGACCCATGCAACTGGCAGTCAACTGAATGCTAGGGACAGTATTGGCAAATTTAAGTTACTAAAACAGTTTACAATTTCAATGTTTAAGGTTTTATAGCGGAGCTCCGGCGGCCCTTCGGGCCGCCAAGCGGAGCCCCATACCTATATAGGGAAGAAAAGGAAACCCACGAATTGATTTTCTCATGGTTATCATGGCTAGCGGTATTGCTCGTGGGCGCGTACGCGCGACAGCGACGACGACGACGACGACGACGGAGTCGCGCAAGATGGCGGCCATACTCCAGCTAATAGGTTGACAGAGACATGCACCCTCGGTTTGTAGCAGGAGAATGCCATTTTTCTTGGTGGGATGTTTAAGAAAAACGATAGCGGAGGTTGATCTAGTATTTTTAAGACAGGGTTGCACTGAAGCAAAAAACAGAAAGCAAGAATT